TGAAAGAAAAAATCTACGTTAGAGTTAGGTTTAACAACATGAAATGGACCGATGCCCTAACACCAGCACTGAGACAGTATAACAGCACATTACGCTCATCCAACAAAGATGACACCCGCCGAAGCACACAAGGACGACGACGAAACACATGTAAAGGTCAATCTGAAACAACGAGAACAGAACAAAAAAGTATCCCAGAATAGAGGAGAACGACAAGGTAAAAAGTGTTTCAAAAGAAAAGGGGCAAATACACCGTTGTGCTTTAAATGGTCTAATAAGTATTCAAGGTTGATAACATTGAAAATGACATTCTGGGTAATAAAACTTACAAAGTAGCAGGAATAAACAAAACGCTTTTGAGACAACATTTTGTTAGTTAATGTTTGAACGTATTTCTTGGTATCTTCGTTGCACTTGACTTGGTAGTAATCCAGACTTGATTGTTTAGGTTCTAAAATCAATTTTCCATTAGGTTTTTTAACATAAATGTACTCGCTACTGTCTCTATCTAATTCTTTTGCTTGATAATTGTTATTGTTTGTATATGTAGGCTTAAAATTCATTCTCTTGAAGATTTTCATTATGTTTTCATTTCGTTCCAACAATTTTTCTTACCTTGGAAACAACATCTCCAACCTGCTTTCAATGTTCTCTCAATGTTCCTCCATACATACTTCATTATAAAACTAAACTTTTAAAACTAAAGGTATAAATCGTGATAAATCTACTCTTTTAATAATAACTTATGTCCCTGTTAAAACAAACATTAATTTCATGTTCATTAGTTGCAATAACCATATCGCCACGTGGTTATTTCTCAATATTCAAACCTTTATCTGAACCTCTGTAGGAAACATACAAGGAATGCAACTAACCTTAACCCCACCTTTATATACTGTTAATTCATTCATAAAACGCATAACGCGGTTACATTTGTCACATTTTATCGCCTTAGTTTCACCAGTTGATTTAACACTTTCTGTTCTTATATTTCTTTCTTGAACCTCTGGCATTGGTCTTTCTTTGCTTTTACTTTTTTTGCATTCGCAGTAATATTTACATTTTTATTTTTCGTATATTGCGTTCCTAACTTAATTAGTTCTATTGAATAATAGCAACATTTTTAATTTTATTATCAGTGAATATACTTGTTCTACTTTCTCTACCTCATCTATTATGTCAATGTAGTCTGAATACGTCCTACCCATATTAAATAATAAGATGAAATAATCATAAATTATTAATCTTATAATTGCATGCGTGTTAGAATATTCGGGGCTTAGCGATGGGGTTTTCTTCGCGCTGTATTAAACTCATTATCTTCAATGCTCATTGAAGTAATGGAAAGGCTGTTTCCTTTTTCTGATATTCACTACCAGCATATCATAAAAACGATGCTCCATTTCATAACAGGTATAAGTAGTTTTCTATATATCTATTTTTGTATGTCTGATGTTCCAGTAGTAAAACCAATAAACATAACTGACTAAGTATTTAAACAGTCTAAATACGAGCGCGTTCCAAAACTACCCTTTAGAAGCACTATAGTTGCTTCTCCAACACGTGGCAAAACAGTTCTAATTCAAAATTTAGGTTTAAATGTATATAAAAACTGTTTCTCTCGTATCCGTATTTTTCGTCCGAGCGTCCATAATGAACAATTGTATTTTGATGAATACCATCCTGAAGAATTAGAACATTTTATCAATTCACAAAGAAAGGGAATACATTATATGAAAAATTCTAAAATGAAGAAATTATATTCAGTACTGATGATTTTAGTGAGGACCCGAAACTGATAAGATGTTCAAAAATATTACACGGACTTTTTACAAGAGGCAGACACGATGCAACTGTAGTCTTCAAAAATATACGACAGTCACCAATATAATTTGTGAGAATGCCAGTTAATTATACATTTTTAGATTAAAGAATATTTCAGAGTTAATTTATCTAGTGAAGAAAATGCGGCGATAGTTGATAAAGAGAAATTTCTAGAAATGTATCATACAGCAATAAATCATTCCCTTGTTCGTGAATTTCAATTCAAAAGATGTTAATAGTATGGTCTACATTAATTACAAGAAACGATTTACAATTAAAGGTTAACTTATATTACATAGTATGATTCTATAATTCCACGAAAGGAAATGACTTACGCCAACACACCTTTTTACAAAATAGTGTGTAACGATTTAAATCTCAAAGACTGCTATGTGGGTCATACACTAAACTTCAAAAATAGAAAGTCGGCTCATAAGAGAACCTGTTATAATGAAAATGTTAAAACGCATTATGATATGCCATAATTGTATTCGTCAAAATGGTGATTGGGAAAATTTTGATATGATATTGATCAGCACTGAAGAATGTGAAAACAGACAAAAGGCTTTGAAGCGTGAGTATCGAAGAACTGAACGCAGCATTAAACAAAGCACGTTACGTCCATTTAGAACAGATGAGGAGATGAAGGAACATAAGCTGGAATATTTACAAACTTCCGTAGTACGAAAAGTAGAGTTAGACATGCGCAACACGCGAAGGGTACCCCTTTCAGCGTGCGGGTTCGCGACGGTCTCGCCACGGTTTCGGAAAGTTGCCCACTGGCAGGGCCGCGCAGACGTGTGCGGAGGGCAAACCGCGTGGCAGGCGCAGTACTTTGGCAACCTGAGGTGCAGATTTCGTGGCCGGCGCAGCCTTTTGTGCCTGTGCAAGGTCAAGTGCAGATTTCGTGGCAGGCGCAGCATTGTCGCAAGGACAAGTACAGATTTCGTGGCAGGCGCAGCATTTTCGCAAGGACAAGTACAGATTTCGTGGCAGGCGCAGCACTTTCACAAGGTCAATTAGTAGATAGATAGATAGATAGATAGATAGATAGATAGATAGATCAGCAAGGTCGAGTAAAGATTTCGTGGCAGGCGCAGCACTTTCGTAAGGTTGAGTACAAATTCCGTGGCAGGCGCAGCACTTTCGCAAGGTCACGCACAGAGTTTGTGGCAGGCGCAGCGCTTTCGCAATGGCAAGTGCAGATTTCGTGGCAGGCGCAGCACTTTCGCAAGGTCAAGTATTGATTTCGCGGCAGGCGCAGCGCTTTCACAAGGTCAAGTACAGATGTCGTGGCAGGCGCAGTGCTTTCGCAAGGTCAGGTGCAGATAGATAGATAGATAGATAGATAGATTTGAGAGATGTAGAAAGAACGCAAGAAGGAAAGAAATCAAGAAAGACAGAAATGAAGAAATAAAGCAAAAGAAAGAAATCAGGAAAAAAGAGAGACATAAAGAAAGAAAGAATGAAAGAAAGAATGAAAGAAAGAATGAATGAATGAAAGAAAGAAAGAAAGAATGAATGAATGAATGAAAGAAAGAAAGAAAAGGAAGGAAGGAAGGAAGGAAGAAAGAAAGAAAGAAAAAATGAGAAAGAAAGAGAGAGAGAGAGAGAGAGAGAGAGAGAGGGAGAGAGAGAAAGAGAAAGAGAAAGAGAAAGAGAAAGAGGAAGAGAAAGAGAAAGAGAAAGAGAGAGAGAGAGAAAGAGGAAGAGAAAGAGAAAGAAAAAAGGAAAGCAAGAAAGAAAGAAAGAAACATAAAGAGCGCAACAAAAACAACAAGGCAAGCTCTTCCTATAGGCGCTTTTCTCGCTTTAGAAGCTTCCACCCACCGGCTCTGCCGGCTCTACTGGTACGGGGTGTATCAAACAAAAAGCAAAAGAGTATAGCGCTACTAATGCTGATAAAATAAGAGAGGCGCACAAGGAATACAGCAAAAAGAGCAAGAGAACAACAAAGAACATATAAATCAACAAAGAAAGGAATATAGGGAAAATAACAAAGACAAAGTTAAAGAGCAAACGCAAACATAAAAATGAATTGAATGATAAGAACAGATTACGAGATAATGCATTTCTTCAAAAGAGTAGAGCGTATCGCTTAAATAAGCTGGAAGAGAGGCAAAAAGATAGAGAGTGTCATTATAATAAGAAAGAAAAAGAAATCAATATAGTAAAGAGTGTTATTTCAACAAAAGAGCAACCAGAAGAAGCACCAGAACAAGAACTAAGAATACTAACAAACTTTAATATGAAAAACTATAACTACATAAAGTTCAATGCAGGTAACTTAATTGAACGCAGGAAATCATTTTCCTGCCTGTAATTTATTATCTTTTTCATCTAGTGTTTTTACACTTTTAACCAATAATCGCTCACGAGTATCTTCATCATCAATTTCATTTAGTTTATCAGGGGTGTATTATCAATATCAGTTTTCTGTTTGAAAACCTTGGTGAAAACCACAGTATATTATATATATATATATATATTTCGTTTTTATTCCTAAATTTCTTTTTCCATTGTTCAACTGTATCTATTGCTTCCAGTAAAGCTTTATGATATTATTGGAACTTTTGTATGTTCAATACCTAAATATTCACGACTGGTATGAACTATTACCAATTTCTTGTGACCCCACCCCCACACCCCACCCCACCCCACACCCGACAAGGCAAACAAGGGAATCGCGAGGAGAATTCGCCACTTGACGGCGGTGAGGAGAGGCCGAGGCCGAAATTTCAGGGCGTTGATGTGTCCCCCTTCACCCCTCCGCTTTCCAATCCTTTTTTTCTCCACCCCACCCAAACCCACCCCACCCCACCCCACCGCACCCCGCCCCCACCCCACCCCCCCACCCCACCCCCCACCCCACCCCCCCACCCCACCCCCCCCGCCCCACCCCCCCACCCCACCCCCCCACCCCACCCCCCCACCCCACCCCCCACGCCACATGCGCGGGCTGCGCCCCTACCCACTCACACCCGCCCACACGCACCTCCTGTTTTGCTGCATTCCCCTCGCGCGCACGCGCACGCTCACACGCCCACTAGCCCATGGCCAAGCGCCTGCAACACGCAGAAGCACGAACACAAGCGCAATCACCGTCACACGCGCAGCACCTTGCCAACGATTGGGTTCCTTTTTTTTTTTTTTCACCCTCAGCATACACCAGTGAGGCCGCCGCCGATGGAGCAGCAAGGGGGACGGCACATTTGTCACCAACCAAGGCACAAAGTGCCAGGCCAGCTGCAAGTGGAGCTTGCCCTGACCACCGCCCTTCCATCAGTTCCCATTGCAAATAATGTGCTCCCGAAGATCGCTACAATTTTCAAACTTTCTGCAAGTGTTGTTCTTGACACGGCTTATCAATCAACATCATTTCCAGAGGGGAAGGGAAGCAACTTCCATCAGAATCATCAAAATCAGTGCTGTTTGTATTTGCAAAACTATGGCAAACAGTAGGAGAAAAGAAAGGGGACTCACAAACTAGGCAACAAAACACTGCATGCAAGTTATTTCAACTGCTACAACTGGGTACTCACCAAAACATGCCAGTGGAGTACCCAAATCTCTTGTCATTCGGCTGAATCAGGCATTTGTAAAAAGGTTGGTAGCTAGTCGATCTGCACGATGTTTTTTTCTTCTTTTTTCTTTTTTTTCTTGTACCTCAATGCAGACTCGCTGAATTCAACCAAGCTCTGGCATTGCACCGGCTACTGACCAGTACGATCCAGGAGCAGCTTAAGAGAGATGTTCAGCAATACTTTTCGGTTGTCGACCCATGGTGCATAACAAGAAAAAGCTGAAGCCTCATGTTGAGCTGCCAAACTCTCTGTCAGCGCATGTACTAGCTCTTTTGTTCGCTTTCGTGGTTTTTGGAGGCGAGAATAGCCAATTTGAACCGCGGGACCTTCCTTTTATCCAACTCCAAGCCCATTTCACCGCTTCCCGGTTTCAGCAACCCTGAATCAACCCGAAGCCGGCCCGAAGCCAAACCCAAGCACAACCCCAGGCCTCTCCTGAATCCAGCCCAAACTATCTGAAACGGTCTTGTTAGCGTGTTCGCAGGCGCGGACAACCTCCAGCACCAAGGTGCAAGCCAAGGCAGTCTGCTGGACCACTGACACAACGCCAAAGGCGCGAGCTAGCATGAGCGTTGCATAGGGATGCTCACGAATAGGTCAAACAGAGATGCTGTCATGTTTCAGAGGGACATTTTAGAGCAAGTCTGACGGCGGGGTGGTTGGCTCCAGTAATTAGGAGCCTTGAAAAGCGTGCCAGACCAGTCAGTGGGCTACTGCGACGAGTAAAGGAGTGCTGAAGTAAGACTTCAACCCCTCCAGGGCAAAAGGTCTCCGTGACTTGCAGGTCAGCAGCAGCGACTACAAGACTGGCGAGATCTCGGTGCAGTGTCCTGACGGTGATCCCGTTAGCTGCACCTGCCACACAGCGGGGACTCCAAGCCAGGGGAGCTGTTCCAACATGTTTGTTTGCTCCCACTGGTTGGATCGGTTTGTCGACAGCAAAATTGAGTACTTTCATCGTTTGCCAATTCTTGCGCACCGTTTTTTCCTATACTATTCTTCGTTTAATCTGGTTGCTAGTAAGAAGCACATGCATTGTTTGTTGTTGGGCTTTAGGTCACTTCTTATCGTTTTTTTCAATATGGATTTACTCCTTATTCTCAGCTATTGTTGATATGCTTGGCTTTTTGGTTGATGTATCAAAGCCAGGTGCCAACAGGGACACATAACTATGCCTGCTTGCGATTGATGATGGGAGCCCAGCACTTTTGAAACCCTGCTTGATTTAGTTGCGGTGTTGGGGACCCCCGCATCACACCAGGTTCATTCATTTGGGGTTGACATTGATTGACGATGCTTCCTAGCTGACAGGCCCTTAGGATTTTCTCAGCGCCCCAGGGTTGTTAAGGGACATATCCTAATGCAAAGTCAGACAGACTTGCTTCCAACAGAGACATTGTATGTACACGTACTGATGCATCACCTCCCACACACGACCCAAATTGCAGAACTTACTGTTCAGGTCAACGGATACACACAAACGCGCATGCACATTCATCACTATGTTTGGATTGCTTTGTCGCAGCAATTTATCCAGTTTTTTAATATTGGCCGGGCATTTTGCCTAGTTACTTGCCCCCAGCGTCAGGCCTGGAGGGTGAATGATCATTGCCGAGATGGCCGGCGGAGGCTTGGGAGGGCAGCGCAATTTCAAGTTAAACACGCACAGACACACAGACATACAACGAGCGTCATACAGGTGCTTTGCATTCAGTGACCATCCCGGACGTTTGCACCCACGACTTGCGCCAGCAAGCATGGCGGCCTTCGTGTCGCAGATCCCTTGGGGACTTTGCTTGCAAAATTTGGTTGCACGCTTCAAGGCTTTGCATTCAGAGTATGTTTCGAGCAACGGCTTCGGTCAGGGATGAAAGGTTTGCAGAAGGTCACTCGCAAGCCATGCCCCGCTCCGAGAGGTATACGACAGCAGAGAGCTTCTCTCCTCGCAATGGCAAGTGCTCTCGCCCGGCAGCTCAGAGGATTTGTGGCCTTCGGATTGCCTTCTCTGGATCCAAAGATGTGAGGGTTTGCACTTGGATATTTAAGTCTCCAGCAGCCCAAATTCTCCAGCAGCCCCTAGTGTTCACTTGTGCCAGGTGATGAAGCAACGTGCATTCAGCATGTTCGGGATGTGCTGGGGGTTTCTCGCAAAGCAGCTATTCGTTTTGCAAGCATTATTTGCTGCCCTCCAGTTTGCACAGACTCGGCCAAATTGTTGACCACGCAAAGGGACACTTGAGGCTGGTAACTTGGACCCGACCCCTTAGCTGACACGGTCCTGCCTCTGTTCAGGTTATACGCCGAATGATCGCCGCCGCCGCTTCCGGGGCATCCAGGCTGGAAATGTATTCTGGCACTGCCGCACACAGACCAGCACAATCACAAATGGAGGAAAATGTCTCAGGTGGAAATCGCTATTATGTACCTGTTTTGCATCCCTTGCACATTCACACCTAATACGTGACCAGCAGCTGGAGGTTCGCATATGCTCACATTGAACACATTTGGCTGCCTTTGCTCCGTGGTATGGGCCAATAATCCTGCTCTAGCACTTGTCATTCTAAATGTATGTTTAATGAGCTCCAGATGGCGCGACCATTCGCGCCCACTTTAACGTGCCTTGCACACCCACTTTCAATCCTTCCTGATGGCGTCACTGGCCTTGATCTTAAACGTATTAAACCATACGTCGTTTGTGCAATGCTGCGAAGCTGTCCTGAGCCAAGACCTTGAACTTGCTTGCACCATTCTCTCAGAGCTTGGATGTGCGTGCCACCTAGACTTTGTCTGTAGACCTCGTGCTATGGGAAGTTTGTCTTCCTGATATGTTTGCTTTGCGTAAAGCTTCATGAGACTTTGCCACCAAGCGATGTCACAACACTGTGAAGAGACTCTCGCCTCAACCGGCAGGTGTATGCTCTTTGCAAGGCATCTCGGCAGTGCAAGCACAAGCCAAGCTGGGGGTGGAGGTGGGCCAACCAGTTTTGAGCGAGCTCACAAAGTGGAATAGCTCAATGTTTGGTTGGGCGCGACGCATCGATTTGTGGGAGTTTGTGGCAATGTTGCAAGTGAGAGGCCCGGCCACAAACAAGATTGCAACTCCAGTGTCAATTGAGGCGCTTTGCACTTGCGGCACCTGTGCACTATACTTCGAGTTGCCCTCAAAGTTGCCCTCAATGGCAGTGCAAGGTTTAAGAGTCTTTTCCAAAGTCTACTCATGCAGGTTGTTATGGCATTTGTTTGCACAACCAAAGTTGCAAGTGGCGCTTTGTTTTAAGGGAAACTGTTCTATTGGTGGACACCAAGAAGGTAAAGGGTCAGGTCTTGTTCCTGGTTGTTGTTGCAGTGGCATCTAAATTCCCTATTGTTTTACGCCTGCGAAGAGGAGGAGACATAAGCCAGCTGAAGCCGAGCGGCAATTAGCCGTGCATGGAGATGATTGCGCCTGCAGCCAATAAATTTCACAGAACATGTTCCTTCTATGCCAAGTTGCACTTCCCCCATCCTGCTCTGTTTCCGTTTGCTTGCGATTGGCCGGCTTGGAGTGTTGGCAGAAGGACACTGGTCACAAGTTGCAAGAAGTTCCTGTCCGGTGACCAGTTTCGTGGCAGGGGCGGGTTCCAATTGGTGGTTTGGATTGGTTTGGGGATTTGAACCCTGGCTTTCTGAAGAGAGTAAATGAGAAACCACCAATTAGGGCTAGGGTGAATTACCCTTTTCAAAGCAGAATTAGTTTGGAAAAACAAATTCGAGGGGATACAGGGATGTGCGAGGATTCCCTTTAAAGGACACAATGTCGAAATACTAGCCGAACCCACCCCCTTGCTTCCCCCGCACCCCTGCCTCGTTGTGTGTCTGATAGTTTCAGGGTTCCCCCGCCTATACAAGCCACTCACCAGCCATTTTCCTTCTCTTGGTCAGCTATTGACCTGTGTGCACTTTTAATCAAAGGACACAAGGGAAGCAGTGTGCGACCCTTCCGAGTTCTTTCCGTGTCGGTCAATTGCTCGCGCCAATGCCGCAATTCCGAGACCCCCGACTGCAGCACCGGCTCCGGCAGCAGCTGCAAGACCTGCAGGGGCAGTGGTGACCGACTGGCAGGGAAGTCCCAGCCGAAACTGGATAGGGAGGGCTGCGAGTGGAAAGTTGCGAGGATCAAAGTCCACTTTGTTTCCTACCTGCCGAACTGGTTGTCTACCGGGAGCTGAGTGAAAACAAGAACAAGAGGAGCTGTTCTCGCAAGTATGCATATGCATGCTTCATGGGATGATGGTTCTCGCCCAATCTCGAGGCCGTGAACCACTGCGCCTCCTGCAACAGTGGCTATTACCTCTCCGGCACGACGTGCAAGGCCGGTAAACCTTGATCTGGCTCAAGAGGAGCGAATGAGAGTCCTGGCACCCCGGTTGCACCCATATTCTTACCAAACGATCCGCAACCTTTTTGGGGATTTGAATTATTTGAACAGATCAGACTTTTGTCCATAACCAATACATGGTGTCCAATGCATTTGAGAGATGCCTGTGAAGGCCTACGCGTGTCATCAAACTGGGGGCCGCGCCTGCAAGACGTGCGTGAGCCAGTCTTCTCGCACTGCCTCTTGGATGCCAGTTCCTGTGCAATATATATGAGGATCGACCAAAAAACCCCTATGTTGTTTTTTTTCTTTTTTTTTTTTGTAAGGACTGAATACGAAAGCAGATTCGGTGTTACGGCGCTGTGGTCGCGGAAGACCGCGGAAGGGCGAGCGGAAGTTTCGCGGAAGGTTATGTGTTATCATGGGATGAAGCTTTACTCGTGTACTACACGAGTACAAAAAAGTTGTGCTGCTTGAGCTGGGGCAGCTCGTACTCTGCCAGTACTTAAAAGCTGCAATGTTTTAGCTTGGCTGTCAAAGTCAAAGTGTGCTTCATGTACCAGTAGAGCCGGCGAAGCCGGTGGCGGAAGTTTCAAACATATAAAATCTATAGTTCTCTTTCTCTTTCTTTTCTTGACGCTTTTTTTCTTCTTCTTCCTTTTCATTGTTTCTTTTTCTCCGTCATTCTTCCTTTCTTCCTTTCTTTCCTTCCTTCCTCCCTTCTTTCCTTCTTTCTATCTGTCTTTTCTTTCTTTCTTTTGTTTGTGTCTCTTCTCTGTCTATCTATCTATCTATCTATCTATCTTTCTCTACCTATCTATCTACCTAACTACCTATCTATCTATCTCTCGTGTTAGCTATCAATCTGCTCATCTATCTATCTATCTATCTCTCTACCTATCTTCTCTATCTATCTATCTTTCTCTCTACCTCTCTATCTATATATCTACTTATCTCTCTATGTGTCTTTCTTTCTTTCTATCTATCTCTCTATCCCTCTATCTCTCTCTCTCTCTCTCTATCTATCTATCTACCTCTCTATCTATGTATCTATCTATCTACTCATCTACCTATCTATCTATCTATCTCTCTATCTCTCTATTTGTCTATGTATTTCTCTATCTATCTATTTATCTATCTATCTATCTATTTCTCTATCTCTCGTTCTTTCTATTTATCTATCTATCTATCTATCTGTCTCTCTATCTGTTTATCTGTGTCTCTATCTATGTCTATTTGTCTTTCTATCTATCTATCTCCACACCTCTCTATCTATCTCTTTGTATCTTTATCTATTTCTCTATCTACCTATCTATCCATTTATTTATCTCTTTATCTCTCTCTCTCTATCTCTATCTATCTATCCATCTATCTCTCTATTTATTTATCTATCTCTCTCTCCCTTTTCTTTATCTATCTATCTATCTATCTATCTATCTGTCTATCTCTCTATCTCTCGTGTTTTTCTCAATCTTTTTATCTCTCTATTTACTTATCTATCTAACTAGATTTCTCTCTCTCTCTCTCTCTCTATCTACACATCTTTCTATCTTTCTATCTATGCATCTTTTTATCAATCTCTTTAACTCTTTCTATTTATCTATCTGCATCATTATCTATCTATCTATTTATCTATCTATCTTTCTATTTCTCTCTCCATCTACTTATTTATCTGTCTCTCTAACCCTTTCTATCTATGTATTTTATCTATAACTATCTATTTATCTGTCTATCTATCTATCTCTCTGTTTATTTATCTGTGTATTTATCTTTCTATTTATCTCTCTCTCTTTCTATCTATCTATCTATCTATGCATTTTCCTATCTCTCTCTCTCTCTCTCTCTCTCTCTCTCTCTCTCTCTCTCTCTCTCTTTATCTCTCTCTTTATCTCTCTCTATCTCTCTTTATCTCTATCTATCTATCTATCTATCTATCTATCTTGCTCTCTCTATCTATCTATCTGTCTATCTATCTCTTTCCTCTCTCTATCTCTCTTTCTATCTATATCTCTAGCTATCTCTCCATTTGTCTATCGATCTATTTATCTATCCATCTATATCTGCGCTTAAGAGTTGCGATTTTGAAGCCCCGAAACTTGACTTCGTATTACTTTCGTACTTATAAGTTGCGATTTTCGAGCCCGACTTCACGTACTACTTTCGTACTTAAAAGTTGTGATTTTCCAGCAGCTGCGGAAGTGGACTTCACGTACTACTTCCGTACTTAAAAGTTGCGATTTTGGATACCCAGCTGCGAAAGTGGACTTTGCGTACCACTTTCGTACTTAAAAGTTGCGATTTTCGAGCTCCAGCTGCGAAAGTGGAATTTTCAAGCTCCAGCTGCGAATGTGGACTTCGCGTACTATTTTCGTACTTAAAAGTTGCGATTTTCTCCAGCTGCAAAAGTGGACTTCGCGTACTACTTTCGTACGCAAAAGTTGCGATTTTCGAGCCCCGGCTGCGAAAATGGAGCGTACTACTTTCGTACTTAAAAGTTGCGATTTTGGATACCCAGCTGCGAAAGTGGACTTTGCGTACCACTTTCGTACTTAAAAGTTGCGATTTTCGAGCTCCAGCTGCGAAAGTGGAATTTTCAAGCTCCAGCTGCGAATGTGGACTTCGCGTACTATTTTCGTACTTAAAAGTTGTGATTTTCCAGCAGCTGCGGAAGTGGACTTCACGTACTACTTCCGTACTTAAAAGTTGCGATTTTGGATACCCAGCTGCGAAAGTGGACTTTGCGTACCACTTTCGTACTTAAAAGTTGCGATTTTCGAGCTCCAGCTGCGAAAGTG